TGAGGCACCCAAACACCTTCTTTATGGAGTTTTCCCATATTCCTTAGATGTTTACTTATTGTATCATGAGAGACATGCAACTTCAGGGCCATTTCACAAGTGTGTTGCCTTGGGTTAGACTCAACAAGCGTCTTCAGACCATCAATATCAATTTCAACATGTCGGCCCCTGCTATCAAAGTTTTTAAGCCTAAAGTCACCTGAATGAAATTTGCTGTGCCATCGTTGACACTTACGAACGTTCAAAATATTTCCATAAATTTCTTTGATATTATTTGTGGCTACAGAAGCGTTCTTTTTCTTCTTGTATTCAAACAGCATTACATGCCGAATGTGTGTCTCGTCGTGTGCCATCACCATAAGGGGTTTGAGTATACTAAACTTTGCACATTATATAGGCTACACTAACGTGACGTTTAGGTGGTTCATTTAACTGTTACACGCGATGTACGTTCTTTGGGGGTGGTTAAAGAAAGTGTTCCAAAACGTGACATTAATTTCTTGACGACCTAATAGTTAAGCACAAAGCTACACAAGAGCTATTTGTGCTTCGCCCACCACGGGTATCGAGATGCGGTTTCTAGTGTTGTAAGTCCGTAGACATGCCGCTGTGCCACTGATTAGCGAAATTCATGTCTTCTTATACCCACGCGAAAATTAACAGCCATTAGACAATAACATGTAATATGAGAAAAGGACAGAACAGGTTAGTAATATGATATAAATTTATAGATCATGTACGTGGACTAAAACTACAGCAACACAGGTAAGGATCCGATCATATTTAATATACATGAAGTCATACTAGTACAGAACGTACAAGCAACAATTTAGGTAAACTAAGTTAGTAACCATATCTATTATACGTGAAGTCATACTAGGACAGAACGTACTAGCAACAATTGAAGTAAACTAAGTTAGTAACCATATCTAATATACGTGAAGTCATACTAGGACAGAACGTACTAGCAACAATTGAAGTAAACTAAGTTAGTAACCATATCTAATATACGTGAAGTCATACTAGTACAGAACGTACTAGCAACAATTGAAGTAAACTAGGTTAGTAACCATATCTATTATATGTGAAGTCATACTAGGACAGAACGTACTAGCAACAATTTAGGTAAACTAAGTTAGTAACCATGTCTATTATATGTGAAGTCAAACTAGGACAGAACGTACTAGCAACAATTGAAGTAAACTAAGTTAGTAACCATATTTAATATATGTGAAGTCATACTAGGACAGAACGTACTAGCAACAATTGAAGTAAACTAAGTTAGTAACCATATCTAATATACGTGAAGTCATACTAAAACAGAACGTACTAGCAACAATTGAAGTAAACTAAGTTAGCAATCCGATATACTTGAGTAAGAAGCATGTGAACTAAAACTATGACATGAAGTTGTGAAGAAATCAAAGTTAAATCTACGGGGTATTATCGTTGACAAAGTTTAACCGTCCATGGATATAACAGAATAGTAAAATAGTTAGCAATTATATTTAAGTGGAAGCCTTAATGCTTACTCTTCTATGCTGCTGATTTGTTGGTGTTTAATGTGAAACAGTTATATATCGGTTCAATTACTGGTAATGGAGATGTTAATTGAAATGATTATCATCAAAATAGTATAATACCAAAAAATGGTCGAGCTCCCTCTGACTAAAATAGTATATTTTAAAAATCTCTTTTCTGATTAAACAAAAGTGTAAGAAAGTATTTGAAGATCATTTCAAAGGATTTGAAGTAAAATCATGTTTATCAATTTTATTCTTAATATCTCTTTCACTTGAATATAACTTTGATTAACAATAAGAGTAGCCAATAAATAGGTTATATAGCTGAAAGAAAATACTGGCATGAAAAATAGTGTCAGTTTTGTGTGTTTTTCTTATAGCAAAGTCTATCTACTGTGTCCACCGATGCGAATCGAACCCCTGATCTCAGCGTTCTTATTCTGGAGACTTATCGCTGTCCCAGCGGGGGACTTGTGTCAGTTTTATTCAGTATAATCGTTAGTAGCTATCAATAAATATTTTTTTTATGAATGATAATTCTCATGTATTTGTGGATAACTTTTTTCCGTATATTGTAATAAAAATAATAGAGCGTTATCAAGTTTTTGATCCTTAAGAGTCGACCAAAACAATATAAAGAAAATGTTTTATAATTTTTTGTATATTTTATTTATTTTTGAATAAAGAGCATCGTAACAACAGAATAAATGTCACTTCCACGGAAAACTTGGCTTTGGCAACATCTGATGAGCAGTGGAGGAAACGCCCCATCTACCGGCGAACACCTGAGTCAGTGACCAATAATATACAAACTGCAGCTCATCCATTGATTGTTCGAGGTAACACAGAAAAAAATCGAGTTTCGAAACGTAGAGTAATCCGCATGTTATTTGTTCTAGTAGTAGAGTTCGTAGTTTGTTGGACACCTCTCTATATTGTCAACACATGGGTTCTTTATGATCAACAAGAATTTTACGCTAGAGTTGGACCCACCGGAATTTCCGTTATCCAATTGATGGCCTACTGCTCATCGTGCTGTAATCCTATTACATATTGTTTCATGTACAGTAAGTTCCGCAAGGCTTTTCTCACAATGTTTGGTTGCCGAAGAAGAAAGACCTGGCAATCTAATTTCGGAAGCGATCTTCCAACGGTGAACAGTGTATTCAGCGCTCGGAATACTATCAGAATAGGTAAGTGAACTATGTCAAGTAGTTTGATCATCAGGTACTCGGTTTTTAACATATGCGGATGTACCCTGATAACATTAATTTACTCATTTTCATAGCTTTTATTATATTCTGAAATCAGAGATTGCGATACTTGTATTCGACATTTATATTTGCTTCAAATGGCTACCTTCAAAACATTTTTTTTGGGCTCATAAGTGGTTGAACATCAAAATATACTTGCTTGTTTCTTTGTTTTCAGCTCCGTATCCAGCGCGAGGGTTGAGCCCCTAAATTCTAGAGTTATGAGGCATTAAGCGTACTCTTGAGCCATCGGTGGCCCGACATGGCCAGGTGGTTAGGACGCTCGACTCGCAATCTGCGGGTCGCT